ACGGACAAGGTGAGCGTGGACGTCCGCGCGCCCAAGTCCGGCACCATCACCAAAACGCTGGCCGACGTGGACCAGACGGTGGAGATCGGTGTGCCGCTCTTCTCTATGGTGTTCGGCGGTGAGGCGCCCGCTTCTTCTCCCGCCCCTGAAGCTCCGGCTTCTACTCCCACGCCGGCACCGGCCTCGACGCCGGCACCTGCCGCGACGCCCGCCACGCCCGAACCGGCTGCCGGCGCCAACCCGCTGCTGGCCACGCCCGAACGCGCGTCTCGTCGCGAGAAGATGAGCCGCATGCGTCTGCGCACAGCCGAGCGTCTGAAAGAGTCGCAGAACACTGCGGCCAGCCTCACGACCTTCCAGGAGGTCGACATGTCCAAGCTTATGGGTCTGCGCAAGCAGTACAAGGACGCGTTCGAGGCCAAGCACGGCGTCAAGCTGGGCTTCATGTCTGCTTTCGTTAAGGCCAGTGCTTCGGCGCTGCTTGAAGTGCCCGGCGTTAACGCAATGATCGACGACGAGCACCAGGAGATCGTGTACCGTGACTATGTGGACATGAGCGTGGCCGTGTCAACCCCTAAGGGTCTAGTGACCCCGGTGCTGAAGAACACGGAGTCTATGAGCTTCGCTGACGTGGAGAAGGGACTGGCCGAGCTCGCTGCCCGCGCGCGTGACGGTAAGTTAACGCTCGAGGAGATGACGGGCGGTAATTTTACCATCTCGAACGGCGGCGTCTTCGGCTCGCTCATGGGCACGCCTATCATTAACCTGCCGCAGTCCGGTATCCTCGGCATGCACGGCACGAAGATGCGCCCCGTCGTGGTGGACGGAGAGGTGGTCGCGCGTCCCATGATGTACCTGGCGCTCACGTACGACCACCGCCTCATCGACGGCCGTGAGGGCGTCACGTGCCTCAAGGCCATCGCCGACAAGATCGAGAACCCGGAGCGTCTGCTGCTCGACATTTAAGGCGCCTTATACTCGAGGGTGGGAGAAGTGCAAGGAATATATACAGAAGGAATAAAATATGTTTCTTGCAGGTAAAATTACGGTTATTTACTCATTCTGACGGAAGAAATCCTGCACGATGTAAGGAATGGTGTCGTATTCAGTGCACGAGCGGTAATATTCCTTGTCTAGCGCTTTTTTGATGAAGATGTTGCAGAATGATGTGAGCAATTTCTTGCGTGTGTT